AATCCAGCAGGTACTGACAGGTTCTGGAGAACCGGTAGCGGAAACTTTGAGTAGCTCAGAGAAACAGCAAATGCCACCTCTGGCACCCCCCAGGGGGGGGTGGGAATGGAGTTTTTGCAGTACCCTCCCCCTGCCCCGCCCACCAAGCCACACCCACAGAACTGGTAATAAAAAAAAATTGACAAGAAATCTTGTTTTCTTGACAAGATTTCAGAAGGGACGAGTGTGTGAGACTGGCCCTCGGTCGCCCAGATAGCTTTGTACCTAAGGCAGGACTAGAACTCACAGACTCCTGCTTTGCACACCTAGTGCCTTAGTCCAGGGGTGAAATTCAATTTTTTTTTATTACCAGTTCTGTGGGTGTGGCTTGGTGGGCGTGGCAGGGGGAGGATACTGCAAAATCTCCATTCCCACCCCACTCTGGGGCGTGCCAGAGGTGGCATTTGCTGGTTCTCTGAGCTACTCAAAGTTTCCGCTACCGGTTCTCCAGAACCTGTCAGTACCTGCTGGATTTCGCCCCTGCCTTAAATCACAACACCAAACTGTCCCTCGTTGTGTTCTGCCTTTCGCCCATTTGAGATAGCCAAATTCATCCCAAGGGATCTTTGGGCAAACCAATTATTTTCCTCTCCTGTTGCTCCAGTAGTAGAAACTATGATGATGTTCTACCTTGCAGGGGCTTTTTTTTTGCCCATTCTCTGTATATATCAATGTACTTTAACAGCTTAGCTAAATGCTCTGCCCAGCTGAGCTATTCTCTCCCTGCCCTTCTCCTTACTGTAGATCCTACAAGAAGGAGTGGAAAGCGCCCAGCGACGCCTCTTCATCGAAGCCTTTGTTTCGACGGGCAGAGTGGATAACATTACCATGGTGATGGGACTACACCCAGAGTACCTGACGAGCTTCTGGAAGACTCAGTACCTCTTGTTGAGGATGGATGGGCCACTGCCGTATCACAAGCGCCACTACATCGCAATCATGGTGAGTGGGCAAGCACTGCAGGGACCTAGATTCAAAGCCCCAGCAGGCAGGGACATGCAGCTCCATAGGAAACTGGGTAGGTGATGTTCTCAGCCCAATGGGTGGTGGTTGTGAATGAAACTTGCTGCCCATGTCACCTTTTACCCCATGAGTATTAGGTGTGAAGAATCAGGGCCATACTCTAAGTTGCAGTTATTGCTCAAGCCTAAAGATCTAGTTAAGTAAGGTTCAGTGCTAAATCAGTGCCAGATAAGGGTCAACGGAATTCAGGAGGGTTTGGACCAGTGGTGGGATTCAGCCAGTTTGCACCTATTCGGGAGAACTGGTTATTAGCTTTCTAAGCAGTTAGGAGAACCAGTTGTTGGAAGAAATCTCCTTTTGTGTTTTTCCCACTTTGCAGGGCTAATCCTGTAAGGAAGGCAGGAAGGAGACATTCTGGTGTTGTTTC